ATATGGATACAGAACCTGAAAAAAAGGCGGCGCTCCTCAAATTTTTCAGAAAATGAAAAAAATCATTTAATTAATCTTGTGGTTACAAGGGTATCATTGAAAACAAAGAGACAGATAGGTCTAAAACAATTAGAGCAGGAAATTAACGATACGAAGGATGAAAAAGAAATGACTCTTTCGTATTTAAAAATTTTAGAAGAAAAAGTCATTTCTTTTTTATCCTTCGTATCGTTAATTTCCTGCTCTAATTGTTTTAGACCTATCTGTCTCTTTGTTTTCAATATATTATGTATTATAATTATGTATATTATGTATTATTATAATAAACCAGGCTGAAGGACCCCGGTCGATGGCCTTTTGTATGTTTTGTATTATATGTTCTGTATTGTACTGAATATGCAATAAAAACTTTATTTATTATTTATTTATTATAATAAACAAGAAGGGACTATTTTATTTTAATTTTAAATAAGTATAAATTAAATAAAACATCAAAAATATTATTCGCATTATATTTTTTAAATTCGCAAAATAATCTTGTATTAATTGATTTTGAAACAGAAAGCCGGGTCTACAATTGTCGTAGGTCGTAGATCGCAGAACATAAGCTTGCGCAAAGCACCCAGCTGACAAAAGAACCTTGCTCCATCGCCACGTCGCGGGGGGGTTTGCGCAAGCTTATGTTCTGCGATCGGACCCCTGCGACAATAATTGTAGACCCGGCTTAATGCGTTCTTGTGGATGAGTAACAACAGGGTACTCCAGTTCATGGTATTAATATCATCAGGCAATGTCAGCTCTGGTTTATTCATGTCTTTTGCAATATTATGTAGTACAGCTGCAGCTGGAATAATGGACAAAACTGTATCTAGTTTTAATCTTAAGCCATATGCCAACACTGGAAACCTTTTTTTTCAAATTCCAAATACTCTTTCTATTATATTTATGGTTCTTAGTAGTGACTCATTATAGAGTTGCTGACCTCTATACCTATATCTATAGTTATTGGATTTGCTAAAGATGTCAATAAATAATATCTTTGAAAAAAAAAGATCTTAAATACCGATGACTAGTACTTTTGAGGTTATAAATCGTTAACGGTGGATTAAAGTAATTTAAACCACCGAAATTGGGGGTTTATTTTAACAGTAGTTTAGAGGTATTTAAACAAGGATTAATTTACGGTTCAAGCCATTTATGAAAAATAAACCTGTGTTAAACTTACGGTGCAAGTGGCCATTAATAAGATCTTTCAGACTTTCAGACAAGTCTTATTCAGAGTTTTTAAGAAAAAGTAAGACTTTTAAAACTCTTACTTGACTTTTTCCGACTTAATAAGTCTTATTCAGAGTTTTTAAGAAAAAGTAAGACTTTTAAAACTCTTACTTTTACTTAATAAAACTTTTTCAGAGAAAAATTTTCACGAGGGTGGCGTCATAGTTTGCGAAACTTATTGACAATTATTATCGTAACTATGTTATAATTAACAAATAATTACTTTAATTTATTAAACATTATAGACTATAGTATATTATGTATCAAGTTTTATAAACGCTATTTTAGTTACGAGTTTTATTAGACACGAGCGAAGCTTGCGAGCAAATGTTTAATAAAAACGAGTGCCTAGGGGCTCTATTGCAAAAATGGTATTTTGACTTATCCCCTTATGGCTTTTACCCACAGACTTTATTTACGAAGAACACAAAGAAGAATTTAAAGCTAATATTATTTATTAAACATTTGACATAATATGTCAACTGTCAACGCATAACATCACTTTCCCCCAATTTATAATAAACTTTAGCCCGTGACTAAAACGCCATTAGGTTACAGCTCGTCAATGTAGGATTAGATAAAAAATATTAAAATAAAATAATTAAATTTAAACACCCCATAAATATCTTTTAAATTGTGTTTGTATTTTTTATATTTAATATCCCCGATACCATACCCGATCACGTAGTGTGACCTTTTACTGGAAAACCTGTATGCCCTCTAGAAACTCCATATATCTATCACTCCTATATAGATAACCGACAATTCATTTAGTGTGTAAATGCCGTAAAAGAGATTCCTTTTCATCAAATTGAGGAAATAGGAACATTTACGCACGTACCTCAAAAATCCGGCCAATAAGCTTTAAAAACTTGCACACAACTTGGGATAGAATATACGCAAGGGGCGTGGTTAGTCGTTTATCCATATAGGAGTGATAGATATATGGAAAAATCCATCACATCTGGCAAATATCAAATATATATTAGGGTGTTTCAAAAAAATCGACTTTTTCTTTTTCTTCAAATGGTCAGCAAATTCTTTTAGAGGATGTCAAAACAAAGACCTCGTTAAAATTTGAGCTTTTAATTTGAAGATTTAGAGGTCGCGGATCGCAATTTTCTATTTCCCATTTAAATAACATAGGAAATTTTTTTTTTTAACTTTGGAATTTTATACGTCTATATCGAATCAACTTATGGCAAGGAACATCTTAGATTTTTATAGTAAATTTAACGCTCTATAAAAAATGTCTCTTATAATTTTTCTATAAATTGATTTCTTCCAGAGTTATTCAAGGCCAAAGTTTGATTTCCATCGAATTTTCTCGTTTTTTTCGACTTTTAGTAGTAAAAAAATCACATATTTATATCTGAAACATAGGAAGTGTAAAAAAAACAAAAAAACAAAAAAAAGTCACTTTTTTCCAAAGCCTACTACAAAGTTTTAATGAAAATATGAGATGTGTATAATATGCAGAGTAATTTATTTATAAATGCATTTTTCTCGAAAATGGTGCATCTGAGCAATTCAAATCAAGAGTACCTATTTTTCGTAAAAAACTATAAATTCTCATAATTTCATAAAAAAAATTAAATTATTAACCCAGAAAAAAGTTGGGGCTATTTTTGTAACTTTGCTCCCTCCAAATGTTACGCCTATGATTAAATTTTAACAGTTTTGATCATAGATCTAGATTCAGCATGTCAAAATTACCAAAGTACCGAAAATTCATTTGTTCATGTTCAACCCTATAGGAATAGTTTAAAAAAAATTATTCTCTTAGGCTCCTATTCAGGGGGCCGTAGCTCCTTTAGGGAGCATTTTTTGATACATGTTTATTAAACAAAAAAAGTGTTATTTTTATACGAATAATGCACGGTTTAAGTTTGGCCCCCTGATTTCGGGACACCCGTATAATGATAATTGTACCATAAATGTTAAAAAAACGCGAAAATTCGATGGAAATCAAACTTTCGCCTCGAATAACTCTGGAAGGAATCAATTTATAGAAAAATGATAGGAGACCTTTTTTGTAGAGCGTTAAATTTACTATGAAAATCTAAGATGATCCTTGACATAAGTTGATTCGATTCAGACGTATAAAATTTCAAAGTTAAAAAAAAAAATTCCCATGTTATTTAAATGGGAAATAGAAAATTGCGATCCGCGACCTCTAAATCTTCAAATTAAAAGCTCAAATTTTGACGAGGTCTTTGTGTTGACATCCTCTGAAAGAATTTGCCGACCATTTGAAGAAAAAGAAAAAGTCGATTTTTTTGAAACACCCTAATATATATAAATATACAATCACCGACAAAAAAAACCTGCACCTAAATTTTTTTGACAATTTGGACATGGCATAACTTTTTTATTTTTGATTATATTGCAATGATTTTTTCCATGAACTATAGATCAATTTATTTAGATTGCGCTGCAGTTTGTACTGATGAAATTTTGGTTGCTTTAATGTTTATATACAAGGTTAGTTCAAAATGATGTTTTTAGTCGTATAAAACACCCATCTGGCTATCTACGCATTTGTATATAAAACGCTGCATTTTTTCAATGTTAATTAAAATAATCAAGTTAGCTTGGTTAGATTAATTTGACAGTTGGATTAATTTGACCGTGACGTGGTCAATATTAACAAAAATGGAGTTAACAACTGCAGACGTGGGTAAAATCGTCGCTTTATTAGAAGATGGTCGTAATGAAAGTTGTTGCCCGTACATTACTTATTCCGCGATCAACGGATCTGTGATGGTTTGGGCGGGAATTTGTATAGAAGGACGAACAAACCTAATTTTGTAGGGAGCCCTAAATGCCCACATATATATTGAAGATATACTACATGAAGCTGTCAGTCCATTTGGCCCTTTCATTTGAGAAGAGTTTATACCTACTCATGCAAGACAATGCCAGACCGCATCTAGTAAATTAAGTTTTGGATGAAGTTGGACTTCGGAGGTTGGAATGGTCACCCTGCAGCCCATATCTCAACACAATTGAGCATTTCTGGGATGAATAACGTTACTGTCTCATCAAGCCTACAACTTTAGCAGTGCAGTTAGCATTAAATGAAGAATATGAAGCTATTCCACAAGAAAAAATAATCAATCTAATTGATTTAATGCCACGAAGAATGCAGGCTGTTTGCGGCTAGAGATGGACAAACCCGTTATTAACTTTAATTGTGTGCTCTAATGACAACTTTTAATACAACTTTAAATGTTTGAAGTAAAATATATTTAAAAATTCGTAGCTCGTAAAAGAAACGAGATGGCCAGATGATATAAAAAAACAAAATACTCGAAACACATCCAGATTTTGCCTAAAACAGTTTAGTACAAGGTTGATTCACATGTTTTTTTCCAAAGGGTACGACTAAAAACATCATTTTGACTAACCCTGGTATATAAACCTTCAAGCACCCAAAATTTCATGAGGACAAACTGCAGCACAATCCAAATGAATTGATCTATAGTTCAACGAAAAAGTCATTGCAATAAAATTAAAAATAAAAAGTTATGCCGTGTCAAAATTATCAAAAAAATTTAGGTGCCGGTTTTTTTGTCGGTGAGTGTATATCCAAATAAATATCTCTGCACTGAGGCATGCCTCATGACAATTAATAGGTACTACAGCTATCTCTTTGTACTATAGTACCTATTAATTAATTATACTATAGTACTATTAATACTTAATTGTTTTTTTGTTTTTAGGGAACCTAAAGCTGGATCTTGGCTAAACAAAATTAACCCCTTTGGTAAAAAACATGAAACTTAGTCCAAATGTGTTTTTTATTGTAAATTGTTAGAAATATAAATGTTATAATTGATTTAATTTGTTTTTTTAACATAAAACTGTCGTTAAATGTAAGATATGCACTCACGCATCGTTCAGTTTGCAAATCTTTGCTATTAAGGTAAACATGACAGGAAAATCGGTTATATTATGTAGTTTTAAGTAACACGTTTTATACCCAGCAATATACCGACAAAAAAGTATAGCAACAAAAAAGAGTTCCATAGGGTTTTAGGTACACTTTTGATCAAAATTGAGATATGCACTCACGCATCGTTCAGTTTGCAAATCTTTGCTATTAAGGTAAACATGACAGGAAAATCGGTTATATTATGTAGTTTTAAGTAACACGTTTTATACCCATATAGCACAGAGACATCTTAAAGATGTCGGACACGGACGTTTATGACATCTCTAAGACGTCCAGTTTACGACGTAAGTAATCTTTAAGATATCTTATGTTACAAAACACAGCGTCTTTAGGATGTCTTAAGAAAAATTTTTAACGGCATTATATATAGCTTATACGCTAAAGAAGTATCGCTAGTAGCGCCACCACTAGGCTGTTATCATAGTAACAAAAGTACGACTTTTGATAATCAGCTGTCAAACGCGAGTTTTTTTTGAAAATAAAGGCGGAATATGTTAAAAAATATCTTTTAGATACAATAAATACACATTTTAGTAATGATTAACGTAAAAAGTGTTAACATTTCAATTCAGTACCTAATAATAGTCAAACAAATAAGTCGTCTAAATTTAAACACCATTTAGCATTATTAAAGCGTTGATTAAGAATTCTTTAAAGTCTCCACTCAACGGTAAAATACCATTATATATATATAATTATAATTATATTATTATTATAATAATAATATATATTATTTATTATATAATATATGTTACCATGACTTCGTAGGTATATTTTGTTGTTCAAAATTCAGTTATCGGCGTTTTTTAGATAACTCAAATATAAAAATGGTTGATTTTAAGGTTATGTTTGTGCAAAAATTATTTTTTACTAATTTCTTAAAAATGTCCAAACTTAAATATAAATTATATTCGAATTGGATCCTTTGGCAAAACATGAAAATGCAACGATTTATTTCTTGAATTTTATTTACAATTAATAATTCACAATGATCCCTTTGATAAAATACACACACTAACGTAACTATATAAGCATTTAAGCGTTGAGTTTCTTAAAATGATATAAGGAATAATTAATCGAAATCGAGTACTAAAAAAGTTTTTGAATTTTTTCCTTGCAATTACATTAATGTAAAACACAAATAACGTGCGCGATTTAGCTGTGTAATTGAAAAGTTTTTTAATTTTTTCCTTGCAATGTAAAACACAAATAACGTGCGCGATTTAGCTGTGCAATTGAACAAAATTTGTCGAGTAAGACTTCTGCCTTCGTCTCTTTTGTAAAAAAACTATAGTTTGACTATAGTCATTTGTTTAAAAATGATGTAGGTACCTATAATCTGTGCTTTAAATGTATTGTTGACAATTCTTAAATTCACGCAATGCATTCGAAGTCCACCAGATGACGGGCGCGTTGCAAAAACCCATTTACTTACCACAAGTATATGCAAAAACCCGATACTTAATACGCTAAAGAATTCTTTAGCGTATTAAATATGCAAACAGCAAAATGTTCCACTGTTACTGGTAATACAATTGAAACATCGGAGAATCAAAAATCTTTTCAATTTATGTTACCAGCTGACTGAAAATATTAACGAAAACCTTTTAGACCATGAAAGTATTAATGAAAAGCTATGATACGGATGACAATCTTTTATTTCATAAAGAACCTTAAAAAAAATGTTGGTGCCGATAACGATGAAATTCCTTTGGAATCAGAATTTTGCGTGAATAATTATTTTTCAAAACAAAATTTAAAAAAATAGCTTGCATTTTGTGCAATAGAAAATTCAATTTACCATATAGCTTTGAAAGGGCTGTTTAAAAACTTACACAAGGAATTTCCCAATACTCCGGAGTGGCCATTACGTGAGGTATACCTAACGATCCAAGAACTTAATTGAAGACTCCAAGAAGTTCGTTATTTAGAAAGGTAAATCCTAGTGAATACTGCCACTTGGAATATTAAATGGAATATTGGAAATTTTGAAATTAGAAAACTTATCAGTGTCAAATATATAAATTAGTAACTATCTACTATATAAATTTATTCTATCGCAAATCTTAAATAGCCAAAATAGAGCAGTTATTTAATGTTTTCTCATGATGTGATTCACTTTAACTATAGTTATAGATTGCTGTTTACACATTTTCATTGCTATATTGACTTGTATTTTCTTTTACAGACCAAGTCACTGTCTTTGATAGGTGGAATCAAAGTAGATGAAAGGACAAAACTCATTTAAAAAGGCTGTTTACTGACGAAATGGCAAGCCAATATAGCTGGCATGGGCTCAAAAATAAAAAAAATGTTCAAGAATTCTTTCTAGGTTAACCTAAACATTTCTGATGTTATATTGGGTGTGTATTCTGATGTTATATTGGGTGTGTATATTTTATAATCTTCACTTTTCAATTACTATTTTTATTTGTTTACATACAAAAAATTGTACAAGTGCTTTAAAAGGACTTTGACAAAAAATAACATTTAGCTCTTGAGTCAAATCAAATGAAACCGGCCACTTAAAAAAGTTCTTTTATGGATTTTAAAAACAATTGTGTTTTTTAATAGAGGTATAAATAGATTATTATTCCCTAATTTTTTTTTTAAAAATTTCACTTAATTTAGAAACAATCGCGAATCGAAAATTTACGCATCTATTTTTGTATTTGTTTGTATTTCGGAAACTAATAGACATATTTAAGTGATTTTTTTTTATAAGAAAGATAAATGTCTATATTTTTTATTATATATCAATCAATTGTTTTTAATTCTATTTTTTTAATTTTTTTTTACAATTTTTTTAAAACAATTTGGACTTTGGCCAGGTTCTCAATTTTATTCTAAAATAGGATTAAATCTATTTTATGCGTAAAACAGAATCGAGTAAATTAAAAAAAAAAAAAGTTAGTAACCACCAATATTAAGGAAGTTATGAATATTTTTCTGATGCCGCGGCATGCCGCCCGGTCACTACCGCGCTTATAAGGGTTTCAACGCGCTGACTTATATTATAATTAAACTATTCTCATTATTTGTGAAGCGGTCAAGCAAAATGAATTGAATTTATTTGAAATACTTATTTAAATAATTTCTTAAATCTTTATTAATGTAGTTGGTAAAAACATTTATAAAATTTAGAACAATAATTATAATTGTTATAAATTAGGTAAATATTTTCTATTAACGATATTAATAAACAAATTATTTAAATAAATACTTCAAATGGCTTATGCTAATGCATTTTGTTTGATAGCTACTCATTTATTAAACGGTTTTAACTTAAAAGTAAAAATTATACAAACAGATAAACAATTTTAAGCTTTAACTATTTCTGCTTCTTTAGAACTTGAAACAATTTTGCACATTAACTTATTGTTTTTTTGCGGTATAAACGCATGAAATTGACGCGTCTTGGGTATAGATTTACAATTTTCATACTTTGATTGGTACAATTTCTCGTGGGTTTTGTATTCTTCATTTGTACAAAAATCAAAACTAATATTTTTAAAGTAACCCACAGCCCAATTATAAAAGTCTTTTGGAGAAGTTATTTGATTAGTTTTTTGCAGACTTGCAATTCTCGCTGCATTTTTTACACATCCACCAATCCCATCGCAAGCGCCTTTTCCATGGGATGTTGCGAAAAAATGCCATTCCGCGCTAATACCATATTCCGATTCATGTAAGAGTAACGAAGACAAATTAAACTTATTTTTATATTGAGACCCAGCTCCATCAGAAAAATAAAAAAAATTTCGGATAACAGAGTCACTAAATTTTGTTTTTAGGTACTGTATTAACTTTTTGTTATACAAATCAACTGACGCAGCTGAATGCTTAAGGCTTTCTGATACTACAACAAAATTTTCGTTTCTTAAAACATTATTTTGTTTGAAGTATGCGACGTAAACATGCAGGGTCGCTTGTGAATTATTCCAGTGGTGCGATTGAATTGCGTCTTGAATAAGGAAAGTATAATTTTCAGAAAAGTCCAAGGTTACAATATATTCGCCCTCATTTATAGTTGCCTTAAGACTATTTAAAAATGACGATTGGGCTGTCGCAATGAAATCGTGTTTTAGCACTACTGGTAATTCCCGTTGGAGTATATTCAAAAAATTTGCCGCGGTTTCCTAAACTGTTTCTAAGGAACATCTAAAAAAAAAGGTTTAGGATGGTTTCAAATATTTCTTTTTCGTTATTTTTTGACATTAAAACGTTAATTTAAGAATTACTTTTATTTACCTATCAACTGTTAGCCATTGTGTATATTTTATTTCAGTAATTTCCCCGTGTTCCAAAATTTCGGTAATTTTTTTTATGACATTTTTAGCTCCAGGACACTTTTGGCAGTTTAGTAAAAAACAATTGGAGTTTGATTCTTTACAAACCATCTCGTTAAAGCTGTCACGGTAAGATTTATCGAATTGAATATGTTTTTTCAGCAAAGTTTGCTTTATTCCTGCGTATCTTAGTCTTAGATTTTGGTGGATTTTGCAAACGCAAACATTATGACTGCCTTTTCCACCAGCCAAAATACAATAAGGGGGTCGCATTTCTCGAATTTTGGTCAGGGAAATCTTTATTTCGGGATATTTTGTACAAAACTTCCGGTATAATTCGTCCAAATTTCCCAAAACTAAGCGTTTCTAGATACATAAAAAAGAAATACCATTAATTTATTTTACCGTGTCAATAGTTGAGGCAATATAGCTAAGATTTAAAAAAGTCCTTACCGATACTCTTTGACGTTCACCACCGTTTTTGCGAAACGATTTAATGTCTTTCATACCCGGCATTACACGGCTCACATCATCCGACAGGTAAAAATTGTTTACTACTTCTAGGACCTTATTGGGAATC